CAACGATGGAGACTATATTACTGATTGAGATCCTCTTTCAGTGGAAATAAGACTTTTTGAAGTGAAGATTGAAAAGCCGATCAGAACTTTTTACTCAACCTAATAGTTAGATGTTTCTGGAGAGACACGCCCGCGCACTCAACTTCCATTCAAAATCGTTGCCGTATTATGCCTATGTGGCCTATACATTGATGGCAGTAGCCAGCCGATGTCCAAGTGAGTGCTTTTATGCTAAAATGCCGAAGGTGTCTGACACCAATTAACAGACCCCGAAGGAGTGGGCTGGGCTTGACGAAGATGGGCGGAACTAAGATCACAAACTCATAACTGTTCAAAACAGTTCTAGAACGCGGGTAAAAAGTGTTGGAGTTAAGGTAAGAAATGTGGCCAGATCCTTGGAGTGGGCGGGGCTTGACTAAGGCGGGCGGGACTAAGATCGAAAATTCACAACTTTGTTGAAAAATTTCCAGAACGCTGGAAAAATTGTTGGAGTAATGGAAGGACACACATATTGACACACATGGTGGACTACAGATAGTAAGACAAAGATAGCAGTCCAAGACTTACTCTTTTGCCATTTGAAGTGGACCTGCAGTGGAATGACGTCGCCTCAGATAGCGAGGACGCACGTTCTTTTCGTGATTTGAATCGGAATCTTCAGAAGAGTGGCGTCCTGGCGAGTCATTTTTCTGAAATGGTAACATCAAAGAAATGAGAACCAAGAAAGTAACATCGCTGCAAGTTACAATTCACGGTGCCCGCCCGCAATGACTGTGTCGGCCGTCCTAAGACGCATGCGGTCGCCACGTCGCCTGTCCACATGGTGAATGCGCTACAACACAGCTAATTCTTCCTCGTTTCTTCTCATATTCCTTACAGGGTCATGTGTACAGTGAGGGATACACAAGAAAATGGTTTCTGGACGTGTTTACCAAACGCGCCTCGGGTACGTTCAGTGCCACATCCCCCGTCCCCTCACGATTTTTTGACACGGAGAGTATTAGAGAGAGAACCTCACCGACGCTTGACCCTGTTTATTGCTTACTTACCTCTACACAAAGCTCTAAAGTAAAACAACAAATCTCTTATACGTATATAGTACTTGAAAAACTAATTTCTACCAGAAGCGGTCCCGATAAGTGACCATGTTCCGACTCTTTCGTTTCTTTTTTCTTTGCGTAGAACTTTATAAACCGCTAGCACGAAGAAGTAAGATGATGGTTTCTCAATGAATTCATGAGATATAAAGCAGAAGTTGCCTCAACACCGCCGCCTACAATCCCACAGCTGTTCAACGTTATTTTTTTCGCATTTTTTCGTTACTTGTGTTCTTTGACCATTTGGTAGACCAATCGCAGGATTTATTTGTTTGCTAGATTAGACGATTTGTTTGTTGGAACATAACACCTGTCTGCCATCCCTTGCCCATCTCGTTCAAATGCGAAAGCTGACCAAACTTCATTGTTTTGTAAACCCCACAGAACCTATTCTTATCCAAGACGTGAGAAAAAGGGGTGTGGTGCGATTCGTGCGATTCTGAGTGCGCGCGGCAAATTGCGCGGCGAAATTCGGTGCGATTCGAACGACTCTGACGCCTATTATTGGGGCACAAACTTGAAGTAGAATAGTTGGATATGGTTAGCTGATCCTAATGACCTACTCTGCTTCAGTTTGTGCTCCACTAATAGGCGCAGGAGTTGTTCGAATCATAGCGAATTTCGCCGCGCNATTTGCCGCGCGCACCCGGAATCGCACGAATCGCACGTCCCCCGAGAAAAAGTGGAGCAAGCACGGATTGAGTCAGTTCAATCACCTAACCAATGCAAGCCAAGATTTCGACTGGCTGATCATAAGTGAAACGCAAACTGCACAATACGTTTTAACGAGGACGCTACGCTGCGATCATCAACGAGACAGTGAAGAGATGATCACAAATCCAACCTTGCATGCAGAAGAAACGATAAAAAATAAACAAAGGGAAATTATGCGGGACCACAAAGTGAAAAGGGTTCAAATAAAGGTACCGTTTAGATCTTCTCACTTCTCTTGTTTATTGTTTTCTCACATCTTCTCAGGATCGCTTGCGAAAAGACATGAGAAGATGTGGGAAGATAATAAACAGAGCAGCTGATACAGTTAAATGTGAAGGGACATCAATATGTAAGGACCTGTCAACAGACCCGAATTCCTTAACTCTTCTTGTTTACCTTCGAAATCATAGATCACGGGCCACGATCTTGTGGGTTTTGAACACTCTGTTTTCCGTCATTAAATTAAATATAGCACAACTTTTCACTTGCACTCTCACTCCACGTCTTCGTCTTGAAAGCACAGTTCACGATAATCTTGCGGTACCCTTTTTAGGTTGAAAAGCGGAGCTGTTAATGTAGAGGAGTACATCGGAGTACATCTGTGGCGAAGAGAACGAGAAAATCCGCTTTCTCCAAATTAAAAGTAGTGGAGGAGGAAGTGGAGGTTGTACGAGATCACCTCGACAGGAATGGTATTTAAGGGGTTTTTGGACGAGATTTAACTTCCTCTCATCGTGCAAAGAGCTGATACATCTAACCATAACTATCCAGAGTTGCCACTCACTGTCGTTATGAGACATGACAAACTGTTTGAACTCCCTACATTGGTTCCCTTGTGAATGGTACAGCCTCTACGAAGTCGTTGAAACTCGCCCACCATGGGTGTGGCATTCACACGACACAATCTCTGGTTCCTTGTTGTGCCCTATCCAAGACGTTTTTCGCCCTTATAACTACAGGAATGGTATAAGAGGGAGCCTTGAATTCATACTATGGGGAAATCCGAGAAACCATTTTGTGGGCCCTTGTTACGCCCTATCTTGGCTGTTTTTCGACAGCCTCTCTTAGGCTATCGTAAGGAAGAAATCTCAGAAACGGTGCCAGTTTGCAAAGACGGTCTATCTCTGATCCGCCATAACCTGATCAAGAGGAAACTCTTCACAATTGGAGGCACAGTTCACGCCAATTTTGATGTACCTAGTTTAAAAGAAATAATGAAAGTTGTGATGTAGATGATAAGAGGTAAAGATAGCGAGGAGAAACCGCCCAATTCTAAGACATACAAGGCTTCAAAAAAGTAATAAAAAATGGGGATTTGTGTGAGGTCATAACGACAGAAGTGGCACCGAAGGGGCATTTAGACCAGCTGTCAATTAGTACAACTGCGTAGAGAGATGTCTACAGTAGACCAACAATGTCAAGATTTGCTTTTTTTAGAACGCAATAATGGGATCGGCGTCCGCCGCCGACGTCGGCGTCATAACGTCAACGTCGGGTCGGCGGTGTACGTCAATCGGTACCTCATGCTCCAGGGTTGCTGTTGGGTGCGAACTCATAAAGAATGGACAAAAGGTAAGATTTGGATGTAATATTCTAAGACATATGTACGAAAGTATGTCAATTCAGGATCCAGCTCGCACAAGGCGATCGTCACAGTACTACTTAAAGCTTTAGCTTCAGCTCCTTAAAAGTTCAATTTTTATGTACAGGCACAGTCCATTTGAATTTTAGGTAATCCTGATTATGACGAAAAATGGAAGATTAGATGGAAAATAGTGCGATGAAGGTGAAGAAAAAGCGTGGATGGGTGTTTCCAAAATGAAAAGACTTCGAAAAAAATGTTAGGGGGCTGGACGAGAATGAGATCAGGAAAATGAAGAAGAATGGGGCGTTTGGACGAGCTACACAATGTGCGTCGTTGCGTACGTGTGGGTCCTGGTGCGAATAGCTGACTACAGTAATGGCCTTCAAAATTCGTTCACTCATAAGATAAGTTACAAAAACCCTAATAACAGCAAAACAGCCTACCTTTTTCAGTTTTTTGAGGTAGAAAATTAGAATAGGGATCGCAGCAGCAAAAAGAATAACAAAGAATAATAGAAAAGGAGAAAACCATCGAGTCATCACTAGGCGATCAGCTGATTGCGTGCTCAATGTGTTTAGCGCAAATATTGCAATCTGTATCGCCCCGACACTCGTCTGATACATCATCGGCCAAGAGGCGGAGCATTGGGCGATCCGGCAACGGGGCTTTCACTATGCCCTGGCGGGCTTTGGAAGCCGACACCGTCCTTCCTGTTACCCTCGAAGGCTACTGGGTATTCCTAGGGAGAAACTCAGAAACCATTTTATCTTGAGTTGTCCCTTCAACTGCTGGAGCTTCCAGCTGCTTCATCACATCTGCAGCGGCTGATCCTTGCTTTCTGCCATAACATCATGGGTAACAGGGTCACAGCTAAATGTCCATCCGTTGAGGTCTCCCTCAAGACTTTTCTAACTCCAAAAAGCAACCAACATTGCAACTATTCGCTTTGTATCGAGATAAACTAGTTCCCTGGTCCCGCTAAGGTCGATGCTCTGTGAGATCACACTTTAGAGTTCCTATCCGGCTTGAAGATAAAAACGATAGAGGTGATTATCTATGCAATCGAGGTTCTACGTATTTCTTTGTAAGAAATACGAATAAACCACCTTGTTTGTGATTCTCGAAGCTTCATTCCTTCAACCACCGAACAAAAAACAGGGTCCGACCAGATCTATACAGTTTTTCGCCAGAAATTCTGGCGTTTCTTAATTCTTCATATTTTCCCGGCAGCTCTCCTTTAACGACGATTTTCCCAGTGAGCTTGCCTCGAGTCTTCGTCGCTTAGACGGCAGAGCATTTGATTTCAGTGAATACTTCAGGAAATCTATGAAATTGAGAAGATTCCCTGAACTTGGGGTCTTTTGTGTTTCACAGAGTTTCAGCACTACTTCAAAGGCACATGCATCTCTTAGCGACCAGACATTGTGTTTAAAATGAATGCGCTGCTCGGCGCCACGAAGATGCAGAAACAAACAAAACGATTGGCGAGCTAAAAACAAACTGCTCACGAAATCGCCGGCCGCACAAGTTGTTGGCAGTTGTTGCCTCAGTTGCAACTTCAAAACAAACAACTCATGCGAACATTCGAACACGAATCAAATAATCAAACCACCATTAATAAACTTTGAGCAAAAACAAGTATTCAAAAAGCGGCCTCAGAAGAAAGGAAAGGAAAGAGAGAAAGCAATGAAACCCAGAGATTCTCTGCTGAGAAATGCGATTCAAGAACTATGCTTTCAAGATTTCCTTTTTTCTAACTTCCTTTCGTCTTTCTTTCTGGACTTTCTAACCATTTTTGCTTAATTCATAGCTTCATGCTACTTGAGGTGGTGGTGGGCCTCCCAGTCCAGGCTAGTTTACGGCGCACTTGTGTTGGCCTATAAGCCTAGTACACACTGGACGAGAAATGTCTCAAATGACCTCCACCTTCTCGGGCTATGAAGAAAGCAATAACTCGTCCTTTTCCCACCGAATTATTTTTCAAATCTCCTGCTGTGCCAGCTGAGCTGTTTTCAAGAGACACTGGCAATTTCATACACACGAGCAACTCGAAAGAATGAACACAAGCTTGTCTCTGAGTGTCAATTCTCGAAACCTCTGACGTCACAGCTCTCCATTGGTGTTGGTGTAAAGAGGTAAAAAAGAAACTTTCAAAATTCAATGGATATGAAAGTGTTTAATAGATCCAATCTTCATGTATTCATCTTACTTCTTGTGCTCAGCGTCAGAGACCCTAATCACACCTCTAGGGCAAGTGCTCTTCCCACAATATAGTTAGCGTTGTCAATGCAATAAGTAAAGCCAGGTTGAGTATTGAAAAACCATGAAAAGCACCAAGCCTGGCACAGCCATATTATACAAGGAGCTTGGGTAGGAAGAAAATTCGTCCTCCAAAAACCTCACGTACCAACTGTGGACAGCCTCATTATTGTCGCCAGCCAAATAAAGAAAAGCTAGTAGACACCTACCAGAAGGCTCTTGTAAAGTTTCTTCGCCCAATCTCGCTTACGCATCCTACGTAATTCGATGATGTCCGGTTTTGCAGCCTTAGTACTACCAGGTGGATCTTCATCACTTTCATGTATTGTCGACGATCTCCTCTTGCTGATTCCTGGAAGAGATAAGGAACATCAAAAGAAGGCAAAGAAAGGTTCCAAGGTACCAAGGTACTTACTTGTCGGAGAACCATCCGAAGAACTGGAACGACTTTGTGCAGACGATGAATAACCGTACAGGTAATACGAAATCAGGAAAGCCGAAACACCGGAGATCAGCAGAGTGCCCAAAATTATGAGTATCTGAATGAAGACCAACAATTGCTTTATGATTTCAAAACTCAAAAAATTGCTTATGACTTACATTCGACCATACGAAGAAAAACACCCCCGTGATGGGAGAGATGATAGCGGAAAACAGCGACATCTGCAGATGATGATGGTACAACTGTTGGTTCACATGTGAAATACTGTATCTGAAACTCAATGCAGTAATGAGAGAAAAATTCAACAGATTCAAGTCCCATTGAAATCCTGCATCTGAAAGCAATGGATTCTGCCTAAGCTATGGTTGGAGTTAGCTTTTATTGCTAAAATTATTTTAAAGATGAAGTATAAAAACTTCTTTAATGAAGATAAGTACGATGTCATTTTGCGCAACAGTGTTGACGTATTGTATCACATTAAAAAAAAGAATAACATCTACTACCTCAATGGCAGAGTTTATTAATGGCCGTTTCCAAGCACGTACCAATCTGAGAGGGATTGGATATTTTGAACTTGAAAATGGGACAGTTCCGCCATAACGGGCAAGGAAGAGGGAAATGCTATGTGCATACAAGTGAGTAGCGCCCTTCCTTGAGAGTTCCATGGAAGACTTTTGTGAACTTCCGGCAGGTACTTCCTGAACGAGCCGTCAGTCACAGGCTGCTTTCAAATTACAGCGATTCAACCGAAGTGCGTTCGTCCGGCCGTCCATGCGTGCGTGCTTCCGACCTTCCTTCGCGTGCGTGCGTGCGAGCGCCGGTGACGCTAGCCACTTGTTGACAACATTGGACGCAAATGGATCCTGTTCCAGTGTTGTCAAGAAATGCTAGCGCCGCCGTCGCGAGCGAGCGAGCGACGGACGGAAGAACTGACGTCGGTTGAATCGTTGAAGTGTGAAAGCAGTCACGGGAGGCATCCACTCAGACCATAGGAGCGAATCTGGTCAATACCATCGGAAGAGAACGATCGGCGTTGACTCACTGTTCATTTCGAGTTCTTATTCTATGTTAACTGTAACCAGCAGCTAGCGCGAACAACTGACACTGACAGCCTTTCTGGTGCCACCCTCCCTTAACCGTTACTACAAATTTTTTTNTTTTTTTGCGCCTTGTACCTTTTACATGTTAACCAGATGGATGACGGAAATCATTGAGCCTCAACCCCTTCTTCAATTTATTCGTTCGATTTCCGCCTGCACTGTCTTACCGGAATGGCCGGTCCGAATTCTCGAACACAAAGTACGAGAGAAATATTCATTTCCGTAGGTTTCCAAACTTTCCTGGCTGATTTGTGTCCTGAGCAAACTGAATCAGCCTCAGTTCTGAGCCCAAACAGCCCAAACTCCCGTGACAGTGAGTCGGAGCACAAAACTCATCGTGCTCTGATATGGCTTCCGACGTCACGCAACGTGCACTTCAATGTGAAGAATAGCTTTTGTTATACTTCAAAATTGATTATATCCATATTTGAAGGGACGTAATGTTCCAGCCTACATTTAATTAATCAAAGGTAATTTAGTCGCTGCGCCTGGGAGTGAATTCCCGGATAATAGGCCAATGTTGCGACTCACCTTTCTAGCCCAGACCAAATATGGGCAGAGGGATCCACTTGATTGATGGTGACAGTTAAGGTTCAAAAGCCCAGTGTGAAAAAGTAATCCCTGCAAACCTGAGTTCAAATTGACCAACTCTCTTGACTTTCAGGCCCAGTGCTCTGCCATTACTGTACAACCTTGTATCAGATACCACATGTACGTTGTGCATCATTTCTTTCAAAATTCCAAAAGTGACTCTTGGTCAAGGCTCTTGACAAATGCTCCCAATCAACCCTACAATACAGTATCAATTTGAAGGAAAAAATAGCACTGAAAACACTGATTTCATACATGGAAACCATCCGGAAGAAATCCGAAAACAGAAAAGAAAAATATTTCCAAAGGGCACAAAGTATTCTGCTCGAATATATTCTTCGACCTTTCATTATCTCTGTTCAGCGATAGCATGTTATGGCTTAGATGAACGACTTGCAAGCAGAAAACATACCTTCTTATCAAATTTCGCCCTGCGTGTCTAGCCGAAGCGGCAATGTCCTCAAAACACGTCATGGCAATAAAAACACATCTTACACGAAAGACCGACTGAACTGAAAAATCCTTAGCGCTTGCTTTCACTACCTACTTGATTTTACAATGTGGCCATGAATGCCATGGAATTCCTTCATACGCTCAACTGCTATAATTTTTCTCCTCAAAACCCTGTCGCGGCCACTTCACAATGTCTTTCCTTTTACTTCACATTTTCATTTTTTCCGATTAATAGTGTGGCCAATATGCAGAGAATGGATGACAGACAACATGCCGAATAGATGTAGATTATATCTTCGTCAATTATGTTGAACTGATGTTTCACTCTTTAATATGCGTTACCTGGTACTGCTATATCAAATCCAAATATGACAGGCACTGCTATACAGACACGCCAAAGCTTAACCGAATCAAAAAGGGCAACTGCCACATGAAAAGCGATAGATAGAAAAAGAAGGCGCAGTCATTTGGCAACGCTCCAGTGAATGATACGCTCCCTTTATAGTTAGATTAATGGCTGCTTTCATACTTCGACGTGCGTGCCGGCACGCAGGTGAAAACGCAGGTACAATCTTGCGCTGCAGCGTGCGAGCGCTTATGCGACGGCGGCGCTATCCAAGTGTGTGACGGCAGTGGCACGTGATCCATCGACGTCCAATGTTGTCAACACCTCTCTAGCGCCGCCGTCGCATAGCCGCTCGCACGCCGCATAGCCGCCAATATTGTACCTGCGTTTCCACCTGCGTGCCGGCACGCACGTCGAAGTATGAAAGCAGCCAAGGCGACGCTGCGCGCCTCTGTCACAATGCATGAGTCACGCGGACGGAGATCGATATCATTACCTTGCCTACAAATAATGCGGTTTTCTACTAGTTACTCTCGGGACAGTATACAGTAAAACTAAACTTAATTAATCAAAACAAGAACCATTTGAACTGTTTCACACTTTAGAGTACATCTTAAAAATAACTAACCATTAATCAGCGAAGTACACAAAATTCTGCTCCTCAACCTTTGCACATGCAAAGAAGTCTGTCGGACGATAGGCGATCCAACCATCGACAGTCTTTTTGACGTCGCCTTGATAGTTCAACTGCGTGAGTTGCAGAGGTGGGCTAAGACCCGTAAGACATGGCAGCCGCTTAGAGAGAGGTCGGGAGAATTAGGAGGATATGGAAGTCAGCCATGGCGCACTCCTTTAAAACAATCTTGACCGTGAAATCTGTGCACAGAATGCGCTGTCCATGACTAGGACGATCCGGTGCAGTAAACATGAGTGAGACGGGCTTGCGACTCCATCTCTAGTAGCTGAGTAGCCACGCTCCTGCTCCGACCACGGTATGCCCCTAGGGTAGGATCGTATAAAGATAGGAACAAACGAGGAGAAGAAAGAGTACGTCATCTTCCTCACTTGCGGACAGGCTGTGGCTTCTCCCCTGTAGAGCCATTCCATCTTTTTGTGGAATTTTCGTACGTGATCTACATCCATCTTATGTACTTCATTCAGTCATCGGTACGGGAAGGGAGGGAAATGCAGATGTTGAATTGCTTACTTTTGGTGGTCCAGGCAGATGGGAACAATCGATGGAGAGTCACAAGTTCCAACAGAAGTCAGGATGTGACGGACTGTGGAACTGGGAGTGAAGGTAACCCTCGCCAGTTCCCTCTCATTCAGGCNGATCTACATCCATCTTATGTACTTCATTCAGTCATCGGTACGGGAAGGGAGGGAAATGCAGATGTTGAATTGCTTACTTTTGATGGTCCAGGCAGATGGTGAATAATCGATGGAGAGTCACAAGTTCCAACAGAAGTCAGGATGTGACGGACTGTGGAACTGGGAGTGAAGGTAACCCTCGCCAGTTCCCTCTCATTCAGGCTTGAGTTCACCCTCTCTTTGGAAGGAACCTTTTAAAAATCGGATGGTGATTTATCGAACCAGAGTATGTGTACGAACGTGCGTCCGAGGATGCGCGCGGCAAAATTGCGCGGCGAAGATCGTAATGATTTGAGCGACTTTGGCGCCTATCATTGGGGCCCAAATTTGAAATAGAGTGGATTAGGAGGATCATCTGACCCTACTAAACTACACTACTTCGAGTTTGTGTCCCGAAAATTGGCGCCGCAGTCGTACTAATCGTCACGAACTTCGCCGCGCAATTTGCCGCGCGCACCCTCGGACGCACGTTCGTACACATACCCATCGAACCAAAACCGTCGTGAGAATACGTCTCCCTTCCGAGGCGAGCATACCATCAGAAGCACGTGGGAGCTGAATATCGATTGATAGCGCAAGACGGGATGGTGAAATTAGTCATCCCCCTGTCTTGCGGTATCAGTTGGTATCCAGCGCAGACAACACCTGTCTAGAACCGCCGTCGCGGCGATGGACGGACGGATGACATTGAAGTCCGAAAGCAACCACCGTTCATGAAACAGTCCTGCACATCACTCTCTATTTCCAGCTGGTACCCAAAGGGATGGCGGGAAAATGCCGTACGAAAATCCTCGACTTAGGAACACACCAATGACGCTACGTAAAAATCTGGCGGCGTCCGCGAAATTCGATGTGGGACCGCAATACCGTAACCCGCGCTCATGCGCTTAGTTGCAGCTGGCCTAAATTTTGTTAAATATAGTGAGTATTTCCGATGACAACATGAAAAACAGTGTGCAAGGCTTTTCATATCGGATTAGAATAAGAAACCTCACAAAGCAATCACTTGTAGAATTCGAAAATAAACCTAAGAAAGATGATTTGGAGTACTTTTCAAAGTTACATTTGGGACACAGAAGGGAATCATATAGTTCATCGAAAATTCTATGTTGCGAGCTGGACGTCACCTAGACGGGACTGAATTGAAACAAAGGAAAACACAAAATAATAATATATTTAACAAAATTTAGGCCAGCTGCTACTAAGCACATGAGCNCGGGTTACGGTATTGCGGTCCCACAGCGAATTCCGCAGACGCCGCCAGATTTTTACGTAGCATCCACCCCAATATGTAGAATAAGCTCACCAATGATATGTAACATTATATTATCCTGACGAAATTTTTACAACAAGTATGATTGGTCAAGAACCGCATTACTTTGTGAACAACCTAATATATTGTTGCGTTACCCAGCCTAACCTTCCAAATTAAATCAACAAGCGATTGCATCTTAGCATAGAAACAATCATGATATCACTAAGGAGATGAAGTGATATGTCACACACCATAAACGCACCATATCGATTACCGCACGCGTGGGACATGCTTAGCGGGAACCTTACCTCTCCGGGATGCCGTTATGTTAATTAGCATAACGTGATTGCCGATGTTGCCGAAAATTTGCATAGTTATATCCATTTACTTAATCACTTGATATTTGACCAAGATTGCATCAAGTATTATGAACTCAAGAGCATTTCGTCCAAGTTAGAGGCCCGTCAAACGTATTTCTTCTTCAACTGAGGAATTAAGAATTTCCAACCCTAACAAAAAAAAGTAGAAAAAACGTGTCAAGAAGAAACAAAAACAAATGGCGCAAACCGAAAGATGCATGTCGGCAAAGTGCCCTTTCAAATCGAAGTATGAATCCGTGAGTTTCCGAGAAAAACTTACATAATTCGGAACAGGCCACGGCTGCACTAAACCTCTTGAACACATTGTACTTACCTGCCCACCAGAATAAATTTTCTTTTCACGAATGCGCAAATAAGAACCTGGCTTCTGAAGCTATCCGTGTTATTACCTCTTCTCATCGGCTAATGAAACAATAACGAAAGAGACGACCTCGACAAGACGAGTTGCTTTTACGAGCTCAATTTCGATGAGGAAAAATGTCTTCTCCATTACAAACTGATTTAACTCTTCGTTCATACTTGGTCTTACCTTCCATGGACCTTCGCGCTAAAAACATTTTGGACATTCAAAAATTCACCCGTTTCAAAATTTTTGAATTTTCAAAACTGAAACTTTGAAATGAACCATCTAGCAAAGAGGTGCTCATGCCATTTTTAAAAACCTTCTTCTCAAAATCAACTATTAAATTGAAACGTGTTCCATGTCCATTTGAATTTTAGGTTCACTAGCGAAAATTTTATTTTAAGTTGCATTCGACTAATTATCTCGTTCGAAACCATTCCAACACTCCAAACCAAAGAACCCCAGTTAGAGATATTTTAAAGTTAAGCGACGAGAACGAACGATAAATGAGGCGCGAAAGACAATTTCACAATGAGCGTGCATTGAACCCAAAACCATATGATAGCAAGGAAAACGCCATATACTCACTGCTTATCATGAAGACTTGACGGAGAGATCAATCAAGCTCACAACAAATATGGAGCATTCATCATATAAAGAACGATTATTAAACATTGCACTGATTTCTTATCACCGCGATATAAATCAAATCAGTGCCAGCGATCAGAAAACAGGACAACAAACAGTCACAACACCACCATTTAGAGAACGAGCTTGGAGGAAAAAATGAAAGGACGTCGGTGGAATCAACGCCATGAAAAAGTGCATATGGTAATTTGATTATAAAAAATGATGACTACCGAACCACTAGCGGGAACTATGAACTAGCAACGCTAAGTAAAGAAGGAATAGAGGAAGGAAAAACAATATAAGCGGTTCCTAAGTGGCGTTTGGGCGATTTGCTAGACATACTAGGAGCCTGCCCGCATACAACTGAAACTGTATTGAATGTAAGGGCAAATGTATGGCTGATACTTCTCACAAAATGTCACCTCTCATAACAAAGAAATGATGCGCGACTAAAATACATTTCTAAACGAAAAACAAATTGAACTGCATTTTAACTAACCTCTCACAAACAGCTAACCGATTTCCTTCGATAGGATGCCACTGACATCCACTAAAAAATTCGCTTGAATTCGCTGGCGTTATCGCTGAAATGCTTTTGTTTAAAAAAAATCAGAACACAAAATACAGCTGCAACAAACGTGAGATGGTCTGCAAATGTTCGACGATGCAGCGATAACGATTCAAGAAATAGAACGCAGACAAGGTCATCATAACAAAGTGGTGGAACATTGTACAAATACACCTCATCAATAATGGGTAAAATAAAATGTATGACAAGGTCTACTACAGTTTCGGTGAGAGAATGTTTGCAGACACATCCTGCAAAACATCACGATCTTAGAAAGGACTGCGTAAAAAGAAATTTCTTTGCTGCGTCGGGCATTACGACGGTAGAGATACACAATTCAAAGGCTAATAGGCCAAGCCCCGGGCTCTCTATTGACAAAGAAGCTCGGAATAAGAATAAAGATTAGAACAGGGGCGACATCTTAATTAAGCGCCTGCTGACACAATTTCATATTTGTTACAAGGAGCGAAATCATGGTTAACATAGATAGGACTAATCAAAGCCGCTCGCTTCAACCTCTTCACTCTTGCCAATGATATGCCACCTTCACAATACTTTACTGCTCATCTACAGTGAACAAATCGAGGCTATAAATCTCTTCTCAAACCAACCTCTCATTTAACTTCACTTCCCAAAGCAGCTGCATCTCGTTTGTAATGCGCGCACGGCTATGTAAAGGTTTCTGGGCAACAGATTACGCATATTTTGTGTTCCTAATGCGATCAGGAAGTGTTGCGCAAGAAGGGAAAGTTACAGCGCGTATGGGAAACCACAAATTCCCACAGAAAAAGAACCGCAACAAAACAATGCTAGGAAATAATGGTTTTTCTCCCTTTTACCGAACGTTCCACTCAACTATCGCAAAATACACTAAGTTCGAGCATAGGCAAGGCTGCGAGTCGACGCAAAAAATAAGCCAGCTTGCGACCTTGGGGATTCTGAAACTACAGGTTTTCCTAATCAGGTCACCGCCAAAATTTCCATGTCCATATATAGTTGCGCTCTCTCATTACAACATGTGTAGGTACCCAAAGGTCAAAGGTGTGAAAGAACGAATTTCAGGGGGTAGCGCCTACGCAACACTCAGTACACAAAATTGAAATGCCAGACTACGAATTGAACCCCTTTTCACATGAAACAGCTGCCGTCCAGCTTGTGCTGATTGCTCTATTCTGTGTAAACAAACATGGCATAAACATCAGTGAATCATAGAAATTTGACAAATTTAAATTCGTTTTGACATTCCTTGCGTTACTACAACAAGCGACACAAAANAAAAGGGTAACTATCACTTAAATACCGTGATTTCCTACAATTTTGTTCTTCTCCCTAGCGAATTCCCATAATACATAATTCGGGAAATACAACGATATTTCGCGGTACCGCTCTGGATTGAACCCGAACATTAATCCCATACAAAAAGTAAGTTAATACAAACCCTCAAATGGATATGAAACCCTTACTGAATGAGTTTACCTCTGCCTTTCCATCAACGTCCAAAACATCGCAGCATAGAGCCAGAGTACATGAACAGAAAATGAATGGTTGAAAAAAGGGTTACGAGAACATCAGCATAAAAGATTTGGCATTGAACTTGTTCGAATCCCAGTATAAAGCCAATGTGAAGGGTTTTGGCCGTTTTCTCTACAAAGTAAATAATAAACGAGGATCGGTGCAAATAGCAACTTTTAAGATTCTTAGATATTGCCTCGACCATCCACAGACCTTTAGGTGTGGCATATAACCACATCACTTGGGAGGGCTGCAAGACATAAACATGGCGTAATTCAGTGATAGTGAAAGAAACCAGAATAGTTAGAGAATAGGACCAGAACTCAGTTAGAAGACATTGATGTGCAGTGTAGCATGTTAATGACGCGATTGTTTGCAAACAACATGTTACACCAATCAACTCAACACAGAAGTATGACAGAGCCAGAAAAACGTCACGTGGGTTGAACGTCGATTTGATGCAGCAGACCTCCCACGCTGGCGCCGCGGCGAGTGCCACGCAAATTCGATTCGTTTTGTTTATCAGACAGCAGCATATCAATGCTTCTTTAGCGTGGAGACATAGCACATGCGAAAAATAGAAAGACATCTGTTCGAATGCAATGGACAGACAGCAGATTCATTGCTCTTAAAAAATTTCATTGCAATTCTCCGCAGATTCATGGACATCTACCTGGCATCTAAACAACATATCACTGCTAAAACTGTCTTTGGCGCTTGGCAGTTGATTGATCTGATCTGATTGAGTGAAACGAGAAAAGACAAAACATAAATGTTCTCTAGATTTAAAAAGCGTCCTAAACAGGTAATCCCGAAGAATGGCATAGTAAACAGCCTCAGAGCAAGGACTGCACAGTGTGAGCTGCAAAACTGACCTTCTTGAGCCCACTATTTTCATTAGACCTACTACGGCTAATCCACTGTCATAGCTTCATTGTTTCCAGTGCGGCCTACGCTCTGCGGCACCTCGCTCTGCTACCACTACCGAGCCGCGTAAGGAGTTATGTCAACATCAAACAAGCTTAGGCGCTTGGCCAGCTTATCAGTTGGTGATTGTTACACGTAGTAAGTGCTTGGAGCGGCTCGTCGGAGTATTCGTTTTCTCACGAGGTCCCCCTCACCGAAATCAGCCTGACTCGTTTCAGGTAAAGATGAGGAGACATAGGAACGAAAACACATTAGGAACCCGACTATCACAGTAATACAGCTGCGACTCCCACCGACTCGTGTGCTTGCCCAGGATCCTTTTTCGATGTACCGTACATGTTACAGTTTCGAGAACTGGCAATTTCCAAACAGATCAGAAAGCTATTCTGTGGAGTGAAATGTGCTATCTGTGAAACTCTGCATCCATTGCATTGTATTCTTTGTGAAAACCGGGTCCCCATACCAAATTTTCGGTCCTGTCAATGAAGATGGCAGACATCTAACCCAAATCCCCACGACAGTAGATACGCGAGCGACAACGGTTTTGTTTCAATTACAGTAAACGTCAGCTGGGAGTTCACTTCCTTCCACTGCGCGCTCCGACACAGGACGAGTTCCGCACACCGTTCGTCCACAGGATACCAAACCTGAGCCGGGAAGAGATGCAGCTAACCCGTGCGAGACAACTACCTAACAACTGGATCGGGAGTTTGGGAAACAAGGTTTTCTTCGGCAGGCGATATTCTTGCCCTAGCTTCTTCCTCTCATATAGAGTGTTGAAACTCAAGTGAACGTATCTCCGGCTGCCAACCAATCGAACATCAATTAGTTAATGATATAGCAACTACAACCTTTGAAATAAAAAGAAATAGGTTAGACGAGCGTCTGGAAATGCTTGATCCTGACATCATGCAATTCCCGAGATATTTCAAATGTGGGTGGGCGTGTTTCGAAAGCTTGTTATCGCGAAGTGCGCAACAGTCAAAGACAGCCCATGCCAATTTTCAATTTGATTGAGCCCGGCCATCGACAGGCGTTCTATGATACTTTAATGAGCCCACTGTGCCATCTTTGACGCTTTCATAGTCCGAGAAGGCAATTAACTGATGGGCGACGGGTGCTGACAGCTGAAGGGCAAACGGCGACAGGACAGGACTGGACTGGCGAAAGCCCAGTTGCCGCGGCTCATGCCACGTAACCTAGTAGGATTAGAATTTCACAAGTGTTATCGACTATGTGGCATTTTATCAACCTTTAAGTCTTTTGAAAATCCATCTAAAACCAGAAAAACGCAGAAAAAGGCCGAAATGTGAAAACCGAGAAGTAGCGCTTCAAGGTGAAGTCGTGCACAACACAAACTATACAGCCGTCAATAGAAGAGCTGTAATCAGCTGAGAAAGCAAAACAGGAAGTCATTTAGAATAAACAAGGACAACAAATTTCAGCATGAGCCGTGTGAATCAGCAAGGCACATCGATCAACACCCGCGCTGCCATCCACCTCCCATCAGCAGCTGGCACTCACAAAGTATGAATGCGCTCTCTCCAGTCCAGGAGAGCCCAAGGCCGCAGACGAACAGAGAAAACCGTTCAAAAATAACAAAGATGCCCAAAACACGTCTGAACTCAGTTCGTTGAAGTTGCCACCTCTAAAAACGAATCGAGCCGGAAAGGTCGGGCTGGGAACAATTCGCCCGAATGCTTCCTTATGCTCCTAGACTTCTGCGACCATTAAAGAAGAACAAAAGAAAAGTACTCACAACGGATCAAGCTGGAAAGGTCGAGTTGAGGACAACTTCGCCCACAAGTTTTAATGTGCTTCTAGAATGCTACGACCATTAAACAAGAACAAAACAGATCTTCACAAAAAATAGTTCGCCATGAGAATAACACCTCGACAAATTGTTGCGTAGAGCCACTCATTGTTGCCGTCAAAAAGTGTTTTCGAGAATAGGACAGACAAAAAATGTAGATCAAACATTACTTGAGCCCCTCCTATAACAACAGTTTCATATCGAGAACTTCACAATGTTTTCTAGATAAAAAAACTATGGATAACTGTTTCTTTCTAAAGTTTAACTGCAAGCAAAACTTCCAGCTGCTGTCTCTCCTCACTCCCCCGAACATTATAACTGCCATGGGAAGTAGGAGGCTGCCCATTCGGAGCCCCTTGTCTTGGTTCACAAATTGTCGTTTCGTAATATTTAAAGTTTACAATCAGTTGAACATTCACCTTTCGATGTCTGCGCTCTAGCCTTTAGCAGAAAAAAAAACATGACAGGAAGCTGCAATTGTCGCATGACTGAAAATACGAATACCAAAACAATTTTGAGCTCCAGCGACAACAACAAAAAAAAGTATTATATAGCTTCGTGACAGAAAAAAAAAATTAATGAGAGTTGAGTACTTATTACCATGGGACATTTGGCATTTTCAAAAAAGCCGGTCACATGACAGATCGGTGAATATTTCCGGCACATAAATATTTCCGGTTGGAACACTATGAAAAAATGAGAAAAAGTTTGGGGAAATAGTGACTCGAGCAGCATGCTGCGTTCACGGCAAGCGTCGCGAATGCCGCTGATGTGTGGTTGCGACGCGACAATTTCGCGTAGAACCTTTGACTAATGTCCATACTAAAAATAGTCTTCTAGCCAATGGATTTCATTTCATCGTCTGGTTCCAAACACTAAGTGGAATCATAGAGGCCTCCTGAACCTAAGCGACAGTATGTGTCTGAAGCAGAAAAGATTTAGGCACTTATTGATTAATTTCTCAAGTAGCCAGGATGGAAATATGAAACCAAGCGATGCTCTCTTCTGGACAATTGTGCTCCTGAGAAGATACATATTCCAATTCGAATGGAGCTTGATAAGCCAAGATCAGACACCAAATAACGAACCAGTAAATAACAGAATTTGTCCACAACTTAATCGTACAAACTTTCTTCAGTAAATGAAATTTGATTAGCACAGGTAGAGTCGGAGAACGAGCGGTAATTTTTGATACAGTACCTCCTTTTCTAATTACGACTGCACTGGATCCTAGAAATGAACCAGCCGGAAGCGTGTGCATATGTGTCCCAAGAATCCAATGGGCAATAAGGCGCAGATGTTCCCTTCCGCTAGATTAAGTTTTTCAGGTTTTGCAATTCAACTTCATCAGGAGAACAGCAGGAGTCCTCACGACTGAATATTGGTCTACTAATTCGGAGATGTAAGCAAGGTTCCGACTTCCAGTGATCATACACCACAAAACGTGCACTTGGCAGCTCAACACCTGGGAAGCGGGATTGTCGGGAATCCCCTAGTGGGGCTTAAAGGACGGCTTCAAATTACGTCGCAAACGCTGCCACTCGCTCAAGAAATCCAGGCGTCGTCATTGCCAACAACAAAAGTGCCACTGAAGCTGTCACAAATCATGTTATGAAGAGTTCAGCTAGTATAATTCTGATTAGCCGATCATTACTACGTATTATAGGTGCTGAATACTGTTCCAGTTAGCAATTCTTGGAATGTTCAACTAATATATCCCTGATTAGCCACTATATCGAGGTAAATGCTGTTGTTAACAGGAACAGCAGTCAATACTTATAATAGTAATGACGTTACTCATAACGCATACCTTGGGCAACGTTATAATTATGCCTCGAAGACTACTTCAATACCTTCAGATGCTGATTATATGGTGATAAAGCGCTGTTTCGCGAAATTCTGCGTCGACGGCCCTCACCGCTAAATCTCAGATTCTAGGCTATTGACTGAGAAGAATAAAAAGTACTGAAGGCACTATTTATTCATCATGGCCTTTGTGCAGGGAAGAATTTACTTCCAGTGCTACCGTATCTAGAGGAAAAATGTGTGAACTTTCTCGCGAAAATGACATTTTTGAATGGGGCTTTTTTTGAATTGTGCCGTCTACTGGTGCAAAACGGTAATAGAGCTCAGAACGAGTGTCATATTCGTGGACAAAGCCATCAATCAATCATGACGATGTAAATCCACGTGTAAAATACCGAAATGTCAAATGTTGATCCCAGTTTAACACCCAAATGTTGAACGCAGTAGAAGTACGCAAAGCATCTACCAGCTGAGTGACTTCGCTCAGCTTATAGGCACTTCGAAAAACAGGATGTAGTAGGCATTTGTGTAAGAAATTCCTTTGTCTAGTAGCATTAGGCAACTACAATACAAAACACCGTATTCCCAGACGACATTTTCATAAACAAGAGCGTCACAGAACCGTCTTCAATTTACCTTATTCAAGCTCACTTAGTATCTTGTCTCGTGCCACATCTCCTAGAATCGGCCGTAGAAGTCCTGTATATCAAAGACACTTATGCAATACTCACAAATGTGAATACATCCTGATTTCGCAAGACATCGAAGATTTTTTGTGCATTGTAAACATGAAGCTGCATAATTTTACCAATTCTAACTGGATTCATTCGGAAATTTCAAGCAGGAAAACACACACACGACTTTCTAGAATGGCACAAAAGAAGCACCTTCGAGAAGTACAAATCCTGAAGAAGACTCGAGTCAAAGGGTTTGGCATCTCACAAACACAATGAGATGAGATTCAAATTCTGACACAAGTAGAGCTGCGAAAAAATTTAGTTTAACTGTGTTCGATTCAAGATCCTTAGAGCAGAGTATGGCCGAGATTGGAGGACGGGAGTTGGTAAATTTCAGCCTACAGTGAGAACCTTAGGTTAGATCGATGCTACCTACCTTAGTTGCAACGAAATCGAACAGATCGGGAGGAAACTACTTATCCACGATATCGTCAGTGACACCTCTCATTTAGTAACTTTGCACTTGACTATTTAATTGCCTAATTCGACCATACCTCCCGGCCGTAAGTGGTCAACACCAAATCAAGGCAGTAGTCAACAATGGTAGGAAGAACCCAGAAAACCAGGTCAACGTAGTTGGATTTGAGGAACGTAGAACGACAACGACATAACGACCACTACAAATAACACCTCAACATGTCCAGCCATGCGTGTTACTCAAGTCCAACCTTCCGAAGAAGGACATTTTGTAATGTACCCTACAACAAAGGGTAATAATATACAGAATGAGCTAACCTTATCAGAACCAAATAGGCGGGGTGGAGGTGAACGAGCCTGGAACATATTGCTTAATACACTGATACAGAGTGCAGTGTTTCCAGCGCAAATGTTCAATTAAACGATAAGAAAATTAAGAACGATATGGAAATGAGAAAGAAAAGAACAAGAAATTACAACCATATCTACGCTCAGTTCTCTATCCACACCAAAGAAACGATTAAAACGCTTGTCTTCTATGACGTCAATAGTATAGCCCTCATGGGGACAATAAAGCCCATTGCCTTTGACGCATCATTTCACAGCATATGCTGAAGCGCATGTTTTTAAAGTGCAAGACGTACACTTCATATCGGCCGTCACCATCTGGTCAGACAACAACATCAAAGTCCTACCGTCCCTACATAAAACCAACCATCTTACTACAATTGCTATAGCTCCGCTAGCCATTCTAAAAACATTGTTGATCGAGATTCCTTCAAATACCTACAATAAGCCAATGAACGAATGTGAGAGAAACAAAACCAGGAGAACAAGGGAACAGGGAATTTCTGAAGGAAAGAATTGATTGGAAAGTAAACAAAGAAAGAATTTCGAAATTATGGAAATAACCTGGTGAAGAAACAGGGGTTGATAATTTTCGGCAAATGTCACGGCCGCACACAGAAAAGAACTAAAAAGCAAAGATTCACGCTTATCAGTGAACTCGCCCACCACATAAACCGCTCATCTTATGGATGCATGAGTCCAATTAGCACGAATGGAGGGGAAGGTACATCCATGAATCCATAATTGCCTGAATACAAATGCAAAAGTGCTGAGATTTCAGAATCGCTGATGAATCAGTGGATTACGAAATGGAAGCTTTTTGAATCCAAGTTCATATCCAAAAACACGAGCTTCGGGATCGAGCAGGATTGCCTCCCGCTCAAATCGTTCAAGATAGGAGGTTCGACGATTCCATTTTGATGGAAAGAGTGATTTGATCCTCATAGTCCTTTACAGCGACAAGCACCTATTTGATAATTCGTCACCTCACCTTTTGAGATGGCCTCGAGGCTCGGCCCACCCCATTGCCAGCACATTCCGTTCGTTATTATCGGGCTTTATATAAAACCATTTAATCATCCCATAGCAATTAAAAACATATGTAAGCTTCTTCGCAGATTCGCTATTTTACGGTTCTCTTTAGCGAAGTGCCATTGAATTCAATGAAATCACAGATATATTGCTTTTCATGAGAAATAAACGGATCTCAGATTTCCCTATTCTCTGACTCATTCAATGACGTTCTGAACTTCTCCACTGATATTATTACAACAAAAGCCAGTGCTTTGGAAGTCTATTATTGCCACCCGACTACAAAGTTGCGTAAAACCAGATAGTTTACTGGTAGACGCTGATAACGACCATGAAAAGACAATAAAAGAATACGAAAGAATTGACTTGAAGTTGTCACTATTAAGGGGGA